CATCCGGACAAAGCCAAGTGCTCGGGAAGTGATTTGTACGCCAACTTCGAGGGCGCCTTTCAATGTCTGGCAACTGTCGGTGACGTGTCTTTCCTCAGACACACCACAATCAACCAAATGTCTCGATACAAACGGATCAATAAAAATGAATACGAGTTGTTGTGTCCAAATGGTGGCCGGCGTTCAGTGGACTCCTATCTGGAGTGCAATTGGGGTTTCGTTCCGTCGCACGCTATTGTCATCTCTTCGGCCACTTTACCCGAAGACAGGGCCAAAATTCAAAGGTTTTTCTTCGACTCCGTCAACAAATTCAGTCCTCAGTCGACAAACAGAGACTACTTATCGGGACAGCCATTGAAGCCATCATTTAATCGATTTAATCAAAGCTTTTCAATGAAAAACAATTTAACGAAATATAGTTTACTGGAAGACAAACTGCGAAACGACGACCAGTTCTCACTGTTTGGCGATTCCGTAAAATACGGGGCAATGAATCTGTTGTTCTCCGACGAGACGACTGCCTTGAGTCCGGTCGACATCAGTAAACAGACTTTCGCCGGTTATTTGCGTTCATACGAACTTCCGGCCAGAATTAAGTTCGACTTCAGGTCTAACTTAACCAATATATTGGATTACTTCGATAAGTTGCGCAAATGTCCCGTTCCTAACGCCCGCTTCTGTGTGGTGTCCGACAAAGAGCTCGAGAAATGCCAACGAATGAAGACTGCGTTCCACTCGCAGATGCTTAAGCCAGAGCTCACTTGTATCAAAGGCCACAGTACTGTCGGCTGTATGTCATTGATTCGCGACGGAAACGCCGACCTCACGGTCTTAGACGCCGGCGATGTCTACACCGGTGGACACAAATTCAATTTAGAACCACTGGTTTCCGAACAAAACAATTTGAACGATACTTATTATTATGTGGTGGCCATCACTCGACAGTCCGATAAGAATACAGATCTGCTATATCTGAAGGGCAAGAAGTCGTGTCACACAGGGTTCGGTCTGGCGGCCGGTTGGGTCATTCCCCTCAGCTTTCTATTATCCAACTCACGGATGCGTCCGTACGGCTGTGACTCAGTTCGGGCCGCGTCTGAATTTTTCCAGAAGTCGTGTATTCCCGGAGCGCTTTCCCGCGAGTTTTATAGTCTGGACAGCACTTGGGATTACGGCAACCTCTGCGACCTCTGTCACGGGGCCTCATATCGATACTGCAGCCGAGACTCGTCGGAACCCTTCTTCGGAGACACGGGTGCGTTGAGGTGTTTGGTCGAAGGCGGCGGAGAGATAGCGTTCGCCAAACACACGACCATTTTGGAGAACACGGGCGGCCGAAACGCCGACTGGTGGGCGCGGAATGTGATTCCCGACGACTTTGAGCTGTTGTGCAGAGACGGCACTCGAGCCACTTATCGCGACTTCAAACGCTGCCATTTGGGTCGAGTGGCCACCAATGCTATCGTCACTAATAAATACAACGAGAACTACCAGAAGGAAGCGTTCATTAATCTCTTCATTTATGCTCAACAGTTCTATGGATCGAAATATTCCGAAGACTTTACATTCAAAATGTTTGTCTCGCAGTCCGACTATAAAGATCTCATATTCCAGGACTCGACCGTTCAATTGAAAACCATTCCCTTTAATAAACGTGATTATCGACAGTATTTGGGACACGACTTCTTGAAGGCCATGTCATTAGTGGACTGCACTGCCGGCTCTCATCGCACCACACCTTCAGCTATTAATTGTGTTTTATTAGCAATCATTGCATTTGTATTTTGCAATCAATTCCACTCACATTCCTCTCAATAAGCAATTGATATTTCACTGATTCAATCATTCCGTCCATTAATTGCAACTAATAGTGACTTAAAGAATATCACAAAGACTTGAAATTTACACAAATTCTGATTTACATTTGTTATGACTTTTTTGTATTTTTTCCAAAAATCTATTTACATGTTATTTAAACGAATTTTGTATTATTTGGAAATAAAATAATTTTCTAGTATTTTGTGTCTATTCAATGCATTCTTAACATTAAAATGTGTTATTTAGTGCATATTTCCCATATTTGCAAATATTACACTTTCAAAATTAGTTTTAACCATGAAACATGGTGAAAAAAGGATTAATACCGATATTTAATTAAATCGATATATTAAATGAAAAATTTGGTAAATATAAAGTGATTATTTTATTTTTAAATTAATACTGTATAATAAAGCTTAAAGCGTATAAATCCGGAATTACTAAATTTAGTATAAAATTTAATTAAATTAAGATATTTTATTGCAATCAGTTTTAAAATATTTAATAATAGGGGAATAATTACAGAAAGTTTTAATAGTTTATCGTTAGCCCCTTTGACCGCAATGCACTGTTCAATGCGACGGGCAGTGTATATCAATATAACAGTAAGTATCACAGAATTTGATGCTATTCTCTGAGTTGTTTTGTTGTCTATAAAAGCCAAACCATAGCAACAATTATTTATTAAATGAAACAAAACGAAACTTCATTTAATAAATGAAATAATCGAAAGAACTAATAATGACTTCTTATATCGAGTATAAAATCGAAGATTCGGTTCTGAAATCTCTTCAAAAAGAGTCGATAAGTTGGTCGGCAACCGATCGCTCACTACTGGCACTGTCTGTATATTCAGGCGACGGCACTATAATACTGCTCAATGAAGACGGTATGCAACCGATTGAGATCTCTCAGAAAGACTCAGATCTCGTGCCACTCAAGTCTGGCGTCAAGATTGCGTGCTTTCAGTGGAATCCGGTATTCCTTTCTCTCGCCATTTCCTGGGAATCGGGAGAACTCGGCGTCTATTCCATCAAGAATTCAAGAGCCAAATGGTCTGAAACAGCACTCAAAGCTTATAACAGACAGAAAACAGTTGTTTGCATGCAATGGATAAACGATGGCCTCAGTCTCTTCACAGGTATTTCATAGACATTGCTTTGGATGAGAATTAAATTTGAAATTGATTTATTCAGTGGATATGTCGGGCAAAATAATAATCTGGGAATTTGACGAAATGGCAAATCTTTTACTCGAAAAGTTTACGCAACAAATAAGTGATCAAATTTCTGATACACTGGCCGTCACTTTCAACAAAATATCATTTGTATATTTCGGATCAAACAGTGGGACAGTGTTTCAGATGAATGAGTCGACGGGAACTCTTAGCGATATCGTTGCTCTCGAGAGTGGAGTCAAACGATTACTTCATTATTCAAAAAGGAGTCGACTTATTATAATAACAGAATCAATGCTTTTATGTCAATATTCATTCTCGACCTCCAGTTCAGACATATGCGAGGTTTCAAAAGTCAAATTAAGTACTTCTGCCCGAAATTTGGCGTCAGATATAATCACCGCCCAAATGATCGACGACTCGGTCGGACTCATAGCTATTTGTTTTACTGGCGAACGAGTGGTCAGACTCTGGCAGTTAGAGAGTGGTAATAACGCGGCGGTTATTGTGGCCGAGTCTGCGGAATCGCATTGGGCTGGCGTTACATCAGTCGGCTATTGGGGTAATTTGATGACTGCCGGCACCAGTAATAGTCATGTTATCATTTGGAAAAGGAGTTCTGGTCTTGAGTTCAATCGAGTCTCGCAAATACAAGTTAAGGGAAGTGTTAAACAATTAAGTGTCTCAAAGAGCAGACACATAGCATGTATCACATCAACCAATGATATCTATTTGATTGCTGAACAAAATATGTGTTTTTCATATAAGAAACAGATTATCATAATTCAGGTAATAAT